CCTCCATCCAGGGGGAGGGGGGGGTCCAGTTCCCCCCCCCCCCTTCCAAGCGACCACAGAACGCGCTCCTTCGAAGGTCAGAATCCCAAACTACCCAACGGTTAGGCACATGGAGTGCGGGCCTGTTTCAGAAAATGTCTCTCGCGTGACGCGGTTTTGCACATCCTGATCGCGCATCTTGGCAGCTCAGCAGTTCGTGAAAAGAGTGCGGCCCGTTTCTAAATCAAGCTCTCGCTGCATGTTCAGACCTTGAAGCGTGAAGGTCCAACGAGTGTGCGTGTGTGTGTGTGTGTGGATGGAGGGCAGCTTTGTTTGACACTCTTGATCTCGCTTCGGCAAGGCTTCCCCCAACTACATGTGTTGAGGGGAATGTCCTTGCTAACGGACTGGGTGTTGTAGCGTTCTGCGGACGAATACTTGGACCAGTCGTTGATGCCAGCATTCAAGAGGAGACTTGGGACGGGAGTTTTGATTTGGCTTCTCTCTCAGCGCAATTTTGGATAAGGGGGATGTGAGAGGGCGACAGCGCCAACGCTCGATCACTGGCAACCACCTGGAGCTGGCAGGCAAGCCTGCCGCAGGACTGCTTTTTTCCCCCTTACGCCCTGTTAAAACGGTGGAACGGTTTTTTTCAGGACGGGAGGGTGAAAGCATGAATGTGTGTGTTGCGTGGTGTGTGGGTTTGCCTCCTCCTCGTCCCCCTCCTCCTTCCCCTCCTCCTTCCGCCGTCTCCCCCCCCCCAAAAATTTTTTTCCCAACCCCCCCCTTCCCTTTTTTCACCTTCCCTCCACCCCACCTCCACCTCCTCCTCCCTCCTCCTCCTCCTTCTCCTGCCTCCTCCGCCTCCTGTTAACCCTCATCTCATCCCCTGCTCCTCCTCCTCCTCCTCCTCCCTCCTCCTTCTCCTCCCCTCCCATATCCCTCCTCCTCCTCCTCCTCCTCCTCCTCCGCCTCCCTCTCCCCCTCCCATCCTCCTCCTCCTCCTCCTCTCTCTTCCTCCTCCTCCTCCTCTTCTTCTTCTCCTCCGCCTCCTCCTCCTCCCTTCCTCCTCTCCTCCTCCCCCTCCTCCCCTCCTCCTCCTCCTCCTCCTGCCCTCCTCCTCCTCCTCCTCATCCTCCTCCGCCTCTCATCATCATCATCATCATCATCATTCTCCTCCTCATCCTCATCCCTGGCGCTGGGTCCCCAGGCTCCCTGGCGCACCCCAGCGCGGCCGCGGGCCCTGGGGCGCAGAAAGGACGGTTAAAGATACGTTTTGGGTCATTTTTGGATTGGGTTTCCCCTCCTTTTTCTTCCCCCCCCTGCTCCTCATTATTTTCCCAACTCTCCCCGTTCCTCCTCTCCCCCTGCTCTCCCCTCCTTCTCCCCCCTTTCTCCTCCTCCTCCATCTCCTCCTCCTCATTCTCCTTCTCCTTCTCCTCATCCTCCTCCTCGCCCTAGCTGTCCTCCCTTGATTACCAGCTGCGAACTCAGGGGTGGTCAAGGTCATGGGCTCCAAGGCGCGACGGCCAGCCTGTTGGCTCCGTCTCCCGCCGCTCACCTCCTCCACCCGTCCTCGCCAGGAGGGTGGAGAAGAGAGGAGAGAGGGCGGGAGGAGGAGGAGGATGGATGAGGATGGAGGAGGACAGGAGGAGAAGGAGGGGAAGCAGAGGGGGTGAGGGCTCTGCCGAGTAGCGAGGCGGAGGAGCGCGGAGCCGACGACGCCTCGGAGGCCCCCAGCCTTGCCCACCCCTCACGCCAGCTGCGAGCGTGAGCGCCCCGCTCCGGCGTCAGCCGGCGCAGCGGCGGAGCGGCGGGCGCCCCGCCCGCGCTGTGCGCGCGGGGGGAGGGGCAGAGCCCGCTGCACCCGCCGGGCCAGCCTCACTCGCGGAGCGGGGCGACGCCGGGCACCAGCGCGCGCGTCGGCCGCGAGAAGGCCAGGCCTGTCCACATCCCCAGGGCGCCGGGGCTCCTTGGCGCCACCAGCCTGCCCCCCCGAAGTGGGGCTGGAGGCCGCGAGGCCCGACGGAGAAGACAGTCACCCCCGTCCAGGGGGGTAGGGCGGACAGCGGGGCCAAGGCTTTCCCAGTGGGGGTGGGGACAGGTCTCGCGGTGCTGAGCAAAGGCGGGGGGAGGGGCGAAGGAAGGGGGGGAGGCCGAGTGTTGCCAGCTTGGCTGGTTCTGGAAATCCCTGGGTCCGAACATGTTGACGTCGCGCTTTTACATTCGCCGCCCTTCAACGGGTGGAGCCGCCGCCGTTTGACTTCTGCTGGCATTCCGCCAGCTTCCGCCAAATGCGAGATTCGCCGACGGCGAGGCCCCCATATGATACGGAAGGAACTGCCATCGGCTGGAGCAAGGCTTGCACAGTCCCCCCGAGGCAATACACTTACCCCCCCAATCCCTTACCCCCCCCCCCCCCCCCCTCGCACAGCCTGTGCAAATGTCTTTCTCCCAGAAGACATCGTAGCAGGATGCAGAACATCCTTTGGCACCGATCCAGGCCAGGCCGATCCTGGGCCCAGAACCACTGCGCACACCTTCCTGGCCAATCCAAGAAGGCAGATACAGTGGAGGCCGGTCCACAAGAAACCTTCCACAAGAAATCCATCCCTGAGACCCCAGGACGTCCATAGGTTTTTGGCGTGGGAACGTCACGCTTTCCATAGCAAAACCATCGACATCCAAGAAACCCAAGGCACCCTGGAGGCAAGCAGGGTGTTTCTTGGCATGGGCCTCCACTGTACCTCGATCCTGGGCCCGTGATTGGCCTGGTCAAGATCGGTGCCGGTGAAAACTAGGAAGCTGGAAGCAAGCAAAGCTGGCTTTTCACATCTGACACGTCCTAAGGCCATGCTATATATATATATATATATATACACACGTGTATATATACACTCAAAACTTATGCTAAGAAATCTTCCAGTAAGAAATTGAGACCCAGCTTCGCTGAATTTATTAGCCCCCTTGCGAGAGCCAGCTTTGAAGCGTGCAATTTCTTAGCGCAGCGCGACGCCAGTGTGGGTGGTTCCGATGAAGATTGTGCCGGTGATTGTGCCGATTGCGGCGCCGGGGGCTCTGCAACAAACAACATACAGGAACACGTCAAGATCTGGGCGAGGATCTGGGTGGTGATCTGGGGGAATCTCCGGGGGAACAGCCAGAGCAAAATCCGCGCGCGCGCTTCGCGCGCGCTCAGGTTCTAGCCCAGGCCAGGGGCGCGCTTGAGGATCTTGGACAGCGCTATCAAGCACAGGCGCGTGACATAGTCGTGCCTCCTGAGGGCCTCTTGGAAACCTCTTGGGTCTTCGTGGGGGCGTCTGAAGGGCTTCTGGGGGGCCCTCCATGCTTCCTCAATTGGCTGTTGCAGGCACATCTTGGGTGCTTCTCGGGGGGCACTTTGGGGCTTCTTGGGGTCCCTTTGGGGCATCGTCAGGGTTCTCCGAGCAGTCGGAAAGTGATGTTCTGCAGCCTGAAGCAGACAATTGGCCGTCTTGGCTGCGTAGAGGCCCGGCTTGAGGCCACATTGGGGCAATCCGGAAGCCTCCCAGGGCCTCCTTGAAGCAATTTTGATTGGCCCCGTGTACGTCTCCTGTGAGCCTTTTGTGGCCTGGTGGGGGGCTTTGGTGGGCCTCGTCGAACCACTTGGGGACTCTTGGGGCCTCCTGTGGGCCTCTTAGGGCGAAAGGCTCTGCTGTTGGGTTCGCGTTCACCTTCTTGGGGCTCTCTTGGGGCCCTCTTGGGGCCCTCTCGGGCCGTCTTGGGCGCCTCGGGCACCGTCTTGGGGCCCTCGTGGGCCGTCTTGGGGCCCTCTTGGAGGCCTCTGCGGTCTTGGGGGCCTCTTGGGCCGTCTTGGAGCGTCGGGAAGCCAAAAGGCTGGGAACTTTAAAATCCATCAAAAGCCGATGGGAAAACATTGCTTCTTGGAACCTCTTCGGCCTTCTGGGGAGCTTCTTGAGGGCCTCTTGGGTCCCATTTGGGGGCCTCTGGGGCTTCCTGAGAGCCTCTCGGGGTGGAAGGCTCGGATTTTCGGTTCGTCTTACCCCTCTTGGGCCCCCCTTGGGGCCGTATTGGTGCCCTCTCGGGCTGTCTTGGGCCCTGTTGGAGGCCTCGTGGGCTATCTTGGATTGGTCTTGGAGGCCTTTTGGGCCGTCTTGGAGCGTCAGGACGCCAAAAGGCTGAAAACTCTAACATCAATCAAACACCTACGGCAAGACATGGATTTGTGCCTCTTGGGGCCTTCGTGGGAGGCCTCTTGGATACGCTTCGGCCCCCTGGGGGGGCTTCTTGGGGCCTCTTGGAGCCTGTTAGGGCTTCTCGGGGCCTCCTGAGAGCCTCTCGGGATGGAAGACTCGGATTTTCGGGTCGTGTCAACCCTCCATCTTGGGGCCGTGTTGGGGCCCTCTCGCTCCGCCTTGGACGCCTCTGGCGCCGTCTTGGGACCCCCGTGGGCTGTCTTGAGACCGTCTTCGAGGCCTCTGGGGATGCCTTGGAGCGGAAATTGAAGCCTCTTGGGCCGTCGTGGGGCGTCAGGAAACTCAAAAGGCGAGAACTCGAAAATCGATCAACAACCAAAGGAAAACAAATTAGTTGTGCCTCCTGGGGCTCCTTGGGAGCCATCTTGGAGACATCTTGGGGCGTCTTGGAAGCCTCTTGGACACTTAGGGACCAATTCTGGGGTGATCTCGGGCGGTCATTGGTCGTGTTCGTTGTCTGGAAACGCCATTTCTGGCAATCCAGGGCCGTCTTCTGGCGACTTTACAAGGCCCCCAGAGTCACGGCAGGGCCCCCGGGCCTCCCGGCGCAAGGGCCCCATCCCGGGCCCCACCTCGTGCCCGCGGCAGGGCGTCCCTGGGCCGTCTCGGCGCCCTCGTGGGCCGTCTCGGCGCCCTCGTGGGGTGTCTGAAATCCATCAAAAATCGAAAGACAATCAATGATTTTGGCGTCCCTTTGGGCCGTGTTGGAAGCCTTGTGGGCCGTCTGGGGGCCATCTTGGGCGCGTTCGAACGATATGTCATCGTTTCGGGGCCTCCTGGGAGCCTCTTGCGGCCCTTTTCGTTTGTCTTGGGGCTTTCTTGGGCCGTGTGGGGGCGGCCCTGGGCTGTCTCGGCGCCCTCTTGGAAGCCTGTTTGGGAGATTTCTGGGTGTCCTGGACCGTCCTCCTTCAACGTCGGCGGCACTGACCGTAAGACTTCCTGGGAACATGATTTGTTGGGGTGTCGTTGGGCGCCTCCGGAGGCTTCGGAACCTGACGCGTTTCCGAGCGTGACGGCAGGTAGCGCTGCTTGGGGCTCTCGTGTTTTTATCCTGGCGGGCGTTTAGGGAACATGGTTTGGGGAGAAGGCGGCAACCCGAGAATCATGTTCCCGGGAAGCTTTCCGGGAACATGATTTGTTCGGCTCTCCTAACAGGGGGGCCTCTGGGGGCTTACCGAGGGGCCCTTTTTGGCCTTGTCGGCGAGCCTATTGGAAACATGGTTGGGGCGGTGGACGGAAGCCCAAGGAATCATGTTCCCGGAAAGCTCTGGGAAATACGATTTACCGAAGTCTCTTGGGGGCCCGCAGGGGGCCTCCCTGGGGCCCCTTGGGAACTCATTGGGGCTTCCGGGGGGCCTCTTGGGAGCCTCACGGGGCTTCTTGGGGGCCTCTTGATGGCCTCCGGGGGCGTCCTAGGAGCCTCTCAGGCTGGAGACCTTGAAATGTCGCGCTCTTCGGGCCCTCTTGGGTCGCTCTTGGGGCTCTCTTGGGTCGCTCTCGAAGCCCTGTTGAATTATCTGGGGAGCCTCCTGGGCCGTCTCTGGTCTTTCTTGGGAGCCTCTTCGGCCGTCTTGGAGCGATCTGAACGGCCTCTGACGCCGTCCGGGACCGTGGGGAGGCGGAACATGCGATAGCGCAAAAATGCGGGGCCCTGTGGAGGGGCCTCTGGAGGCGCTCTTGGGGCGTTTTGGCGGCGTCGTCGGCCGTCCTGAGGCCATCTTCGGCGTGTCCGGGGCCTCTTGAGGCTGTCTTGGCAAGCTTTAGGGCCCTCTTGGCGTGTCGTGGCGCGTTTGGGAGCGGACCTGGGCAGTCCCGGGAGCGCTGGGGGCTGTTGAATGCTAGGTGTTGTCTTGGAGGCGGAGGCTGTTGAGTGCAGGGTGGCGAGTGCTACGCGGAAGGCGGGCGAGCGGCCAGGCGGGCGGCGGGCGGGCGGGTGGTGGGCGGGCAGGCGGGTCGGGATTTGAATGGATTCCTTAAGGGTGCTCTCTTGCAGCGGGAGCTTGTTGAGCACAGGGTGTTGCCTTGAAGACGGGGGCTGTTGACTACAGGGTGTTGTCTTGGAGACTGAAGCTGTTGAGTACAGAGTGGTGCGTGCTACGCGGACGGCGAACGGGCGGCGGGTGCCCTAGGTGGTGGGTCAGAGGCTTCATGGGTGTTGGTTTGGATCTCGTGGTTGGCCTGTCGGGAACGTCGTGAACGCAGTTTCGCATCTTCTCGGTGACCGTTTTGGGGCCGTAGTGGGGCCTCCTCGGGGCTGTTTTGTAGCCTTTTGAAGCCTCGTTTCGGCCTCCTGGGTGCCTCTCGGGGGCGTCCTGGGGCGGGCTCCTTGGGGCCTCCTGGGGCACTCTTCAAGCGGGAGGGTCGAATTTTGGATTCGTGGTTCCCTCTTGGGCGCATCTTGGAGCCGTCTTGGGGCTCTCTTGGGCTGTCTTGGGCGCTTCTGGGGTCGTCTGGGGGCCCTCTTGGGCCGTCTTTGGGCGCTCTTGGGGGCCTATCGGGCCGTCTTGGAACGTCGGACAGCCGAAAAGGCTAAATCTCTCCAAAACCTTTGAAAAATTACCGATTTCGGCCACTTGAAGCGCTCTGGAGAGGCCGGAGTACTGGACTCAGGACCCCCGGAGGAGCCTCCGAAAGTCGAAGGGCGTCAAGAACATCGGCGGGAGGCGAGCCGAGAAGTCGAAGGGGCGAGCGCGGTCCCGAGGGGCGACCGGGGCGGGGACGGCGTCGACGACGACGACGCCGACGACGGCGACACCGCCGACGACGGAGAATTCTCTCTGGGATCCAAGGGCCTCTGCGCTGGCCCGGGGCGGGATGTGCCACCGCAGGAGGGCCACGGCGCGCATGGCGTCCAGGAGGCCGTTTTCTTGGACCGGCGGCGGCGGCGGTCCGAAAATCGGCTCGTCCGCACCGTCCGTTGTAAGGTTCATCGGGGCTGTTTGGGAGCCTCGTGAAGCCTCGTTCGGGCCTCCTGGGTGCCTCTGGGGGGTCTCCTGTGGCCTCTTGGCGCCCCTCTGGGGCCTCCCGGGGCCCTGTGGAGGCGGGAGGCTCGAATTTCCGGTTCGCGGCTCCCCTCTTGGAGCCCTCTTGGTGCCGTCTTGGGCCTCTCTTCGCCCGTCTTGGGCGCGTCTTGGGCCGTCTTGGGGCCCTCCAGAGCCGTCTTGAGGCCCTCTTGGAGGCCTCTTGGGCTGTCTTGGGGCGTCCGCGGGGGGCGTGTGAGCCGTCGTGGAGCGTCGGAGAACTGAACAGGCGGGAGAGGCAAAATGTGTCCCAAACCGTTGTAAAATGAGCGATTTTGGCCTCTTGTGGCCCTCTGGGGGGGCCTCTTGGAGGCCTCTTGGAGCGTCTTCGGGGCCTCGTTGGCCGTCTTGGGTTTATCTTGGGGGTCTCCTGGGGCCTCTTGGCGCCCCTCTGAGGCCTCCCGGGGCCCTGTGGAGGCGGGAGGCTCGAATTTCCGGTTCGCGGCTCCCCTCTTGGAGCCCTCTTGGGGCCGTCTTGGTCCTCTCTTCGCCCGTCTTGGGCGCGTCTTGGGCCGTCTTGGGGCCCTCCAGAGCCGTCTTGAGGCCCTCTTGGAGGCCTCTTGGGCTGTCTTGGGGCGTCTGCGGGAGGCCTGTGAGCCGTCGTGGAGCGTCGGAAAGCTGAAAAGGCGGGAAAGGCAAAATGTGTCCAAAATCTTAGTAAATTGCACGATTTGGGCCTGTGGGGGCTCTCTGGGGGCGCCTCTTGGAGGCCTCTTGGGGCGTCTTGGGAGCCTCTTTGGCCGTCTTGGGCTTATCTTGGGCATCTTGGGGCCCTCTTGGCGCCCTCATGGGCCTCTTGGAGCCTGCTGGGCCTGTCGCGGAGCGCTTTTGGGGCACTCTTGGGCCGGACAAGGGCGCTCCCGGAGGCCCGATCCCCCCATGGGGGGTTGCGGTCCTGGCCAGGGAGCCCCCGGCCCTGTAGCCCGGTATGTATGTCTATATATATATATATATATATACACACACACACTTTTTCGTCGGCGGCGATGCAGAGTTGGCTGCACCAGCGAAAGAGCTAGACGGGGTCGCCGAAAAGCGAATTGGCCAGCGTGCAAGAAGGAGAAAACGCGCTAGATACACACGAACACGCCTGGCGTACCTGGCCACAGAACGGCCCAGCTCCGGAGAGACATCTGGCCACATGCGTATCCACCTCTCGCCCAGGAGGACCACGCCATGCGTATCAGGCTTCCTGGCAGCTGGCATCGCCACGGAGGGGGGAGGGGCCGAGGTTGGCGAGGCGGGGGGATGTCAAGCGGAGCGCGCCGATGGTACGTCGGAGGGAAAACAAAAACGGCTGAGCGCCCCAGAGGAGCCCTCGGCAACAAGCGACGGCGGCGAGTGAAGCGCCAGCGAGAGCGAGCAGAGTGAGATCGCACGGGAGACTTCTTCTCCTCCTGCTCCTCTTCTTGATCCGCTTCTTGCTTCTCCTCCCTCTCCTTCGTGGTCCTCTTCGTGGTCCTCTTCCTCTTCGTGGTCCTCTTCTTGATTCTCTTCGTGGTCCTCTTCATGGTCCTCATTATCTTCCTCTTCCTGCTCTTGATCCTCGATCCTTCCTCTTCCTCTTTCTCTTCATTCATCCTCTTCGTGGTCCTCTTGATTCTCGTCGTGGTCTTCTTGCTCTTCCTCTTCGTGGTCCTCTTTCTTGATTCTCTTTTTGATTCTCTTCTCGGTCCGCCTCCCTGACCGCCCACAGCTGGGGGGGGGTGCTCCTGAACCTCCCTGGGGGAACCCACCGTATCAACTGTCTCTGGAAAGGAGGAGGAGGAGGATGTCGAAGCTGATCGGCCTCAGAGGGGGTCGGGGGCAGAGCCTCTCCAGCCTGGGGCTGGCCTGTGGCGTGAGTCGCCGCGCCGTTTGCTCTGACCGCGTCCAAGCAGACGAAGCCGGCACCGCGGCAGACCACACTGCAAACCCTGCGTCCGAGGCAGAGCTTGCCCTGGTGGCCGCGGCGCCCGCCCCAAGACGCAAGGCCGCGCGTCGAGACAAACGGCGCGGCGACATGTGTGCGTGTGTGCCGACATCGGACCATCACCAGATCACACGCCAAGCAAAAATGTCGCTTTTAGAACTCGAACTTTGCAACGCCGTCCACAATGGAGTCCGCTGGCATCCCGACGTCTGGATCGTTCTCCTCAAAATGGGCGTAGGTGACGCCTTGGCCTTTCGGGCCTATGCACAGAACACCCCCCTGGATCATCCCGTCGCCGACCAGGTTACCCTCCACGCCCTTCTCTTTCAACTTCTTTAAGCCCTCTGTCACCTCCCTGAAAAGCCCAATGGGATTCCACCAGGGCGACTTGAACTTGAGCTTGATCTTGCGGCTGCCCATCGCCTTCACGAAGCCCTGGCCCTCGTCCCAATACACGGGCCTCCCCTGGAAATACCTCGCCTGGAACTCCCCGACCCCTAAGCCCTTCTCGCCCCCGTCCTCCGGCACCTTCGCCGTCGGGGCGACCTCGCGCACGACGGCGATGAAGGGCACCCTCCTTGCCTCCGCCCGGTCCAGCGCCTCCACACGAGGGAGGACGTTCTCCATCAGCTCGTACGCCTCATTCCGACACGCGACTCAGCCCGCCCGGCGCACCACGTGCACCACGGCCCCAGTCTCGGACCAGAGGTCGCCCGCGAGCACAGGGGCCGCGGCTGGGTCGACCAGCGAGCCGTTCGACACCTCCCGCAAGGGTATGGCCGCGGCCGCGCAACCCCTCCATCGGGCCAAGGGGAGCCTTGGGAGGGCGATCGAGCGATCGAGCTGGTGACGACGACGCCGTCGTTGTGGTTTTTCTTCTGGAGGGTCTCGCCGCCACGGCTGGGTGCGGCTCGGAGGGCCAGCCAGGGCACACTGGCGCCGTGCGCACAAGCGGGTGGGGGCAGGGTGGTGTCCTCTCGCAAGAAGGCAGGGGATCTCATTACCGGCAGGGCTGCGGCTCGTGGGCCTCTAGGTATGCTTCTCAGACGGCGGGAGAGCTTCCAAGAAGGCCCACCCGCCTTCCCAAAAGATCCCCCCCCTGCCCGCGCGCCGCCGAACGGACCCTAGGGAGGGCCCCGGGGGACCCGCTTCTGGCCGCCTCTGGTCGTCAGACTGGAGAGGTGGCGCTGGGGGGCGTCTGCCCCCCCCCCATCCCAGAGATCCGATGTCGTGATTGTTTCAATGCGGGGTCCCTGGAAGCCTCGACCCCATTCTTGGGCGGGGACCGACCGTCCCGGCATTCCTATAGGCCTACCACGACATGTTCTTAGACCCCCCAAAAGTTCGAATAACAAAAACAATACTCTTAGAACATAAACCCGATGAGTTAAAACAAGACAGACTCAGCCAGGCATGTTCTAATAACATGTTCTGCAGACCGCAAAAGGTTCTTAGAACTTTTTTTTGTGGGCCCATAGGCGAGTCAGGACGCTTCGCCACTGCATGACATTCCCCAGGTCCGGGCAGCTCCAGGGCCCGGCGAGGGCCCGTATAGAGGCCGAGAGTTGCGAAAAACCTCCGCCTTGATTTTTTCAACGCGTTGGACCGCTGGGCCCCCTGGCCCTGTGCCCGGCGGCGGCCGCGGCCGCGCCCAGCGGAGCCGTGGGCTCCCGGCCAGGGCGCCCCGGACCTCCGATGGGCCGTGTCTTTCTCACAGCGTTGGCCTCCAGAGGTCTGGACCACAGACGGCAAAATTATCGATATTTTCGGCCCTGGGGGGCCCTCGCCGGGCCCCAGGGCCGTTAAAGAACGACTCGGGACGGAAAGCCGGTCCTGGGGAAAGGGTCGGGACTTCATCCGGAGACGCCGCACTGAAAAAATCAGGACGTCGCCTGTCTCGGTCTCCACTTCGCGGCGCGCACTAGCGGGGCGGGGGGGAGGGGGAAAGGCTTCTTAGCAGTAGGCTGCTTCTCAGAAGGCGCCGTCCCTGAATCTATAGACGGGCTGGCCCGCGCCTTCTCTGAAGCAGCCTCCTTCTAAGAAGCCTTAGTCCCATATCGGGGAGACATGAGGCCTCGGGTTCGGGGGACTCGGGCTGGCGGGGGCCATCACGAAAATGACGAGACCCGATCTGGAATTTAACGCGAGCTCCAGCTGCAGACGTCCCGAGAAAACTGGACCGTCGAATTCCAAGACGCGCTCGTCAGAAGGCGTCGGCAAACCCGAGTTCTGGCGTAGTCGAGTCCTACGTTTCCCCGACCATGCAGGGGCCGGTGTTTCAGCACCCCACAGTGGCTTTGTGGACGGCCCCGGGGCCCGGTGAGGGCCACCAGAGGGCCTGCAGCGGCCAACCTCCCTGCGCAGCGAGTTCTGCCGCGACGGGAGACCCCCCGTGGGCTCCCAAACCGCGGCCGCGGCCGCGGTCGCGGACGGGAACCCGTCTGCGACCGGACAGGCCGGCGAGGCGGCGCTGCGGGACGTCGTGCCCGATCGCCCCCGCGGCCCTCCGCCGGCCCCGAGGAGGGGCCGCTCGGCCGCCGGGGTCTGGACGCGATCTGCGCCAGGTCGACGCTGGCGGCCGCGCGCACGACGGCGGTGCCGCGGCCGCGGCCGGCGGCCGCGGCCCCGCCCAGGAAGGCGGCGCGGCCTGGCAGGCAACTCCGACCTGGAAGCCGAGACACACATGGCTAGGATCGCACCCCAGACATGATCGCCGCGTCGTGCAGAAGTCAGGACGGCAAGTTTCTCGCTATTTTCGGCCCCTGGGGGCCCTCGAAGGTCCCCGAGGGCGTCAAAAAACGACTCAGGATGAAACGCCGGTCCCGGGGAATGGGTCTGGACTTCTGGGGACGCCGCACGGAAAAAATCAGGACGTCGCATGTCTGGGACGTGGAGCATCTGGAGGCCAAGCTCTGGGTACACGTGCGGCAGCCCAGCGCGCCTGGTCACAGACAGAGGGGCCGAGCGGCTGCAAAGACATCTGGCCGCACGTGCATCCGGCTCTTCTCGCCCAGGCCAGCCACGTCATGTGCATCCAGCCTCCTGGTAATCGGGCCACCCATCTTCGCGCATCGTGCCAGGCGATGCGCGACGCGCGGTCACCTTCGCGCCCCCGCGCCGCCCCCAGGCCAGCGAGGCGGCCCCAGCCGCGCACGCGCGAAGGGCGGTCATCCTCGTGCCACTTGGGCCCTTGGGGTTCGCAGAGAGATGAGATTCCAAAGTTGGCAAGGCCACTGGGGGCATCTTCCAGAGGTCATCTTCGGTAGAGACATTCCACATTTGGCATGTTTGACCCCTTCCAGGGCCTGCTGGCAGGGGACTTCGTAGAAGGGCCCAGAGGCCCGGAGGCTCCTAAGAGGTCCCTTGAAATGGCAGAGGGCTCCGAAGACGCCGCCTGGGCTTCCTAGAAGGATGCCAACCCCCCTTCGCGACACCCGCTTCTTGTGCGCTGCCCATTGAAATACTCCAGAAGGACACCAGCCGGCCCAGTGCGAACACCGAGCGCTCGGGGCAGAGAGCACAAGAGGCCAGCGGCCGTCTTCCAGAGCCCTGGGTGCAGGAGGAGGAGCAGGAGGAGGAGGAGGAGGAGGAGGAGGAGGAGGAGGAGGAGGAGGAGGAGGAGGAGGAGGAGGAGGAGGAGGATGGAGGAGGAGGAGGAGGAGGAGGGGGGGTGGAGGGGGAGGTAGAGAGGAGGAGGTGAGGGGATGAGTAGGGAGTAGAGGAATTAGGAGGAGGAGGAAGGAATGAGGAGGAGGAGGAGGAGGGGGAGGGGAAGGGAGGGAGAGGGAAGGTGGGAGGGAGGGAGGAGGGGGAGGAGGATGGAGGATGAGCGAGGGAGAAGGTAGTGAGGGAGGAGGGAGGAGGAGGAGGAGGAACAAGGAGACGGAAGCCAGGAGGAGAAAGAGGAGGAGGAGGAGGAGGAGGAGGAGGAGGAGGAGGAAGAGGAAAACGAGGAGGAGGAGGAGGAGGAGGAGGAAGAGGAGGAGCAGGAGGAGGAGGAGCAGGAGGAGGAGGAGCAGGAGGAGGAGGAGGAGGAGGAGGAGGAGGGGTGTCGAAGGCCCACTTATCATTCAATGACTCGACTGCCTTCCAAAAGGCATCCCTCTCAGCCTCAGGGGCCTGATTGTGCGGTGCGTGGCCCACTGCCACTGTGAGATCTAACGCTGTGGCCTTGACCTTAGCCACTAGTACCCTCGGGGTAGCGTAAACCACAACACAACATTTAGGACCGAGAAAGAGTTTTTTGCCATCTTTATGCCCATATGGGACCGTAGTAGGTAGCCAAAGCTCCACCCCGTGGTTTCTGTCGTTAGGGCCAGATCCGCCAGAACTATAGATGAGGTTTCTTTTCGTCTTCTGGGCTTTCTTGGTGTTCCTGGCCTCCTGGACGCCGATAATCAACCACCTCTGCAAGAGTGCCTGGGCCACGAATAGCTCGCGTCTCGCGGTGGCCCTAGCCCTTTTGTTCTTTTTGGTGACCGAGGCCTTGAGCGAGCCGGGGTTATAAGAAGCAACCCGAAAGTCCAACTCTGCTTCTACTGGAGACTCCTTCTCCTCGGGAGAGGGTAAGTGATGAGCAGCAGCAAGATGGGGCGCCGTCTCAAAATGGAACGCGTCGCCCTCCAGGCGGGGATACGCGGCGGCTAGCTGATCAGCGCTCCTCAGCCATTGCCACTCGACCGCTGGATGGAAGTCCACCGCTTTTCTTAAGGCTTCAGGGATCTTCGGGGGTTCGAAGTTGTCCGTCAGGAGGATCCCCGAGGTAAGCTTCGAAATAACATCAACGAGCTCGTTCCAGGGGTCTCCGGAATGCCCGTGGGTATGGCTGACCGTGACAGGCCGCCTCTGGTTTGCTAGTTCCATAATTGTTTGCATCAGGTGGGCTTCCTCAGCGTCCTTGGCCGGCTTGGCCAACAGCTCGGAAAACTTGACTGCAGCAAGATTGTCAGAGATAATGCAGACTGGGGCGCTGCTCTGGTCTTGGAGACTCCATAACAGTGCCCATATGACTCCGTGAACTTCAGTACTAGTACTTGTCCATCTGGAAGGATCCGAAGGAAACGCTGTAGAATCTGAGCTTTTAGCTGACAAAGGGCCCTTGGCAAGTGTAGTGGTCGCCGATCTGATGCAATACAACTAAGGCCCATGCACCATTCTCGGGCGATTTGGGGTCGAGAGATCCGTCAACATATACCCAGGCCCTCTCGGGCTCACAGGCATCGGCAGGGCTAGTGTTTGCTAAGGCGTACCTAGTATGCGGATGCAGAATTGTGTCGTTATAGCGCTCCGTAGGCCAATGCTGGAGCGCCAGAGGATAGGAATCCAGGGTCCCTCTGACATCGAACCAAGAGTCCAGCAGGCAACACCTCGAAGCAACAGGGTGCGGGGCGGCCGCGACGCAGTTCTGTCGGGCCTCGTCCAGCTGCGTGGCGACGGAGGGGCCTGCCCCAGGTGGGTCGGGAGAGGGGGAATTCGGGAGGGTACATGCAATGGCAGTCTCCAAGTCATAATTCTGGGCCCTGTGGGGCTCGCTGTAAATCTGTGGAGGTGCCTGCTTCCCCCGCAGACGCCGCCTCAGACCCTGTGGTTCCAGCGGCATCGCGCCAGAAACCAAATCAAAATACTCCTGGCAATTCAGCTGAGCATGCAGTGGGGGGGTCCCCTGAGGCCCGTGGGTACCTACCCCCACAACCGCGACGGTGCCTATCGAATTGGTATTAGCCTCCCCCTCAGCATTAGGGTCGGCCTGATCAAAAGGGTCAGCCTCAGGCAGGCTAAAAGTTGCATCATTGACTTCACCTTGGCCCCCTGGGCCCCGCGGGGCGCCACGACGAAGTGGGGTTGAGAGCTCCGGTGACCCAACCAAGCGCGAGGGGTGCTCTTCTTGTCCCGAGAATCCTTCAAAAATCGCGGCAGGTGGCTCACTCTGCTCAGTCTGAGGATGGAGTAGGTGTTGATATCCTTCTTCATCGTCGTATGCCGGTTGGCTGGGCTGGTCTCCTTTTATTAGATGCCAACGCCAGGCTCGGCGAGGTCACTAGCGAGTACGTCGGAGGCGAGCAACACACCCAGCCCCAAGATAAGAATGGCGACGCTCTGCACAAGTTTTTGGCGGAGGGGGAGGTTTATGCCACTAATGCTCTTTTACCTGCGCATGGCCCTGGACATACCTGGGCCGCGCACAACATGGCCACGCATAGGATCGACTACATATGCGTTAACAAGTTCCTGTGGGACCACGTCCGCGGCTCTACCCCCCTCCATTGCTTTGACTCGGGCGACAAGCACATCGATCATGTTCCCGTCCAGGCCGCTCTTGCGTGGAATGCTCAGGGCCGGGTCAAGCGAGGAACCAAACCTCTGGACCGCGAGAAAATGAAGGACCCACACGCCCAGGATAAGTTTCGGGCCCTACTTCGGGCCGTCCCTGTCCCGCCTTGGGCTCACAACATACATGATCAGGTCAAGCAACTCACGGACCTTGCGAACGCCTTTGCAATAAAATGTTTTGCTGTGGAGGCCTTGCGGCCCAAGAAACCATGCACGTCCAGAGCTTCTTTCGCCCTTATTAGGATCCGAAGAGCCTGCCTCAAGGCCGGGGGAAGCCAGTTTTCGACCCAGGACCCTCCCTCGATCGATCAGGCTCGAAAAATCTTTGCCTTGGCTTGCCGCCTCACTCGGGGGGACCTGGTTGATTTTGTGGGAAAAACGGAGGGTTCGCCCGCTGCGCCCATGGCGGCGGCAAACGACCCCCCATGAGTGGGCTTGTGCCATCGCGGGCATTTTGAGCCTTAGCAGGCCTGCCCTGAGAGGGATGTTGAATGCCGACAAACAGGGTTTCCTCGACCGACAAGCTGAAGAAATTCGCGCCCATGCTGAGGGCAAGCATAGTCAGAGGGAATGGAACACTGTTAGAGGGGTTCTCGCTTTTGGCGGCCGCCCGCCCAAATATGCTTGCACTTTGCCTATGCGACACGATAAGGAAGGTAACCCCATCCCTACTCTTGCCAAGATAGCCGAGCACATGCAGACCTAGTTTGGTGACATAGAGCATGCCAGGCAGTTGACTCCTCAGGCCCTTGTTGATGAGTATAATGCTAGAAGCTCGATTATCCAGAGCGACACGCAGCTCAACATTTCTGTGGTTCCCTCGCGAATTGTGTTGGCTAGACGATTCGCGGGCGGTCCCAGGGGCAAGGCGGGGGGGCCCGATAAACTGACTGACGACCTTTTGCGCGCTGCGCCCCGCGAATTTGCTCGCCTGGCGCACCCTGTTGTGCTTAAAACCAGCCTTTTAGGCGTGGAGCCAATCCAGTTTAAAGGGGGGGCTTGTTGCGGAGATCCCGAAGGGTAAAGGAGCCCCCCATCTCGATATTGACTATCGTTCTATTCTCCTGGGCAACGTCATACCCAAACACCACCACCGTTTCCTAAGAGACAGGTGGAAGACCCTCCTCGGCATGATCCTCAAAGATACTCAATGTGGCGGGCGCGAGGGCATGGGCACAGACCATGCTACCCATTCGGTCTTGTCGTGGTTCCAGGTTGCCAAGGCCCAGGGGAAATGCACTATTTTGGCCTCAGTGGATCTGTACGCGGCGTTTCATACTGTTTTGCAGCAACTGGTCTTGAGCCTCCCAAGAGACCCCGACGAAATCCTCGACTTGATCCAGAGCATGGACATACCGGCGGCATTCCAGGAAGGGCTCAAAGTGGCCTTGCAAGGTCCCCCCATCTTGGAGCAGCATTGAGATGATAGTCATTTCCTTGCCATTGTAGCCGAAGTGAACAGAGCGCCATGGTGGAAGATGCCTGGTACCAACACCTTTGCAGCCCCCCGCACTGGATCGCGGCCTGGAATGCCCCCGGCTAACGATACATTTAACATGCTTTTTCTTCAACTGTGATTGGGAACATCGAGCAAGACCTCTCGGATGAAGGACTCGCCCTCGACCTCCAACCATTACTTACCCAGCCTCGGGTGTTCGCACGCGCAGGCGCGGTGCCGCCGATGGCCACGGCTTCCTTTGTCGACGATCTCACCGCGAAAGCAGCAGTGGGCCACCCGGAGCAGGTCATCGCGACGGCCCAACGGCTTATCGAGATCCTTCACAACCGGATCGGCCCGACAGGGCTCAAGGTAAATTTCGGCAAGTCCGTGCTCATGAACACATTTTCAGGTAAGGGGCATAAGAAACACGAGCTCCTGATCAGAAAAGCCGACGCCCCAGCAATCACAACTGAAGGTGGAGAATATTTTCGAGTTGTTCGAGTGCACAAGTCTTTAGGTACGCACCTTACAGACAACGGCAGCTGGGGGCCCGAGGTGGCGGCTAGCATTGCATCTACGCATTCAGGTATTGGACCAATCAGACGTACTATTGGGAAAAGCCGCGAAGGACCCCGGACCAAATCAAAGTTTACATATGCTGACGCTTTGGGCATGAGCAAACTTTCTTTTAACTGCGGGATCTGGGGGCCACTGGGAAGCCGAGCTGCTGCCGCTTGAAATAAAGCTTACAATCGTGTTTATCGTGCGGTTGAACCCCGCGGTGAGTCCAACCAAGACGGCCCCAAATTCGAGACCACTAACGAAACCCTCCTTGCCAGCGCTCAGAGGCCCCACCCAGACCAGTATCTCGCGCTGGCACGGTTGCGGTACCTCCCCCGGCTTCTGAGACGCGCTCCTCAATCACTCTTAGCGGCACTCGATGTTTTGTATCATTCTCATTCTGGTTGGGTAGCGCTTCTGGGGGCGGATCCTGCTTGGCTTAATGACAGACTTAACGATGGCCGGGGACAGGGCGGGCATGCGAGACACAGCGTCGAAGAATGGATCGAGTGCGCCCGTGCGAGCCCTGGATATTTCAAGAGCCGACTCGACAAAGCCAAAAAAAAAGCCAACATTTCTTAAACAAAGACGCGGCGAGGCTTCGGGATCTGCATACCGCTTTACAAGACCTCTGCCATCATACCGGATTCGTCGCCCCGTTCTTGGAAAAGCAGAAAACGGACCTTATCTACATGTGCTATGATTGTGGATGTCAGGCCTCGGCCCCTAGCGCCCTCAAGATCCATGTTAGCAGGAATCGCACTAAGGTGGGCGACCCCATACTTTGGATGAAGGGCACTTTCTGCGAGAGCCGCCGTATGCAGCATCATGCCATGGCTAGGCTTCATAAACCCTTTTTAGTTCGAAGTCCAAGGTGCAGAGAGGCCTGGCGGCCCATTATGCCCCCCAAGACCCCCGAGCAGCTTGCTGAGGACAGGGGGGCCATCATCGCTGCCAGGAAAGCTAACCGTAAAGCGGGGAGACCTGAACACTTTGCAGAGAAACCGGCTTTTCGGGCCCCTGGGATTTCGATTTGCCCCCCTGCCCAGGTCCCGAAGGAAAAACGTGCTTGGAAACCCTTGCCCATGGCTCGAGCTGATTCTGGGGATAGAGCCCTTGCGGGCCAGGTTCCCAGGCCACTTGGCCAGCCTACCATGTATCTCTTGCATTTTTTCGCTGGGGCCCGACGCGAGTTTGACATCCAACATGAGTTTGAGAGGGCTGCCGAGTCCTTTCCTGTCTCTGTCTGGGTGATCAGCCTTGACGTGGCTAACGACCCCATCCGCGGTGATGTTTCGAGGCCAGAGACGATCCGTTTTTGGTATCGCGCCATGGCTGGCGGCAAGGTCGCCGGATGCTGGGCTGGCCCTCCGTGCGAGACTTGGTCGCAGGCCCGCCTCCGTGACACCGCCGAGTGTAGGGGTCCCCCGCCAGGGCCTCTCCGCACCCCTGGCAGG